CATGCTGAAAACCCAACCCCTGCAGGAGGGGATTTTCCCCCAGGAGATCTTTTGAAATACTAACATAAAATACACATTCTGGTACTCTCTTGAGAAGAAAATAAATAAATCTATTACTACACGACATATTTGAAAAAATGAATGCCATTTTAGTTTTGTGTTACTTTGTTCTGAAAGCTGAACCTGCTGCTCCTCACAGAGAGAAGAGGGAGAGGCTGAATGACTTTACATTGTGGATAAGGGTGGATCGTCCCCATTGTTCTGTGTGTCAAAATGAAAGACAGCCCACACACCTATCAATAATCAAACCGTGGGGTCTTATTTCATTACGTGTTGATTTCTATCGATGTACATAGAGATGTAATACAGCAAAAGTATTCTCCGTCAGGACTTCCTGCAACAACACCACACCGTTATCTTGATTCTGATTGGCCAGAAGACATTATCAAAGATGTTCTATTGAGAAGACGATCACTACGTGACAAAAGTTTTCAAAACCGTTTCTAGTCTTTGGTATTCTTATTTTTGGCGTGAGAATATTTTGGGCAGCGTGAGAGCGTGAGATTGAGAGTGAAAGCGTGTGTGTGTGTGTGAGTGTGAGTGTGTGTGTGTGTGTGTGTGTGTGTGTGTGTGTGTGTGTGTGTGTGTGTGTGTGTGTGTGTGTGTGTGTGTGTGTGTGTGTGTGTGTGTGTGTGTGTGTCTGTGTGTGAGAGAGAGGGGGTGTGTGTATGTGTGAGAGAGAGATAGAGTGTGTGTGTGTGTGTGTGTGTGTGTGTGTGTGTGTGTGAGTGTGTATGTGTGTGTGTGTGTGTGTGTGGACTCTGCCCTCTCTCTGACTGATAGCAGCTTCTGATTGGAGCTAAATATTTACATGTTCTGCATGTCCCTGTGTGGGGGAGGCTCACACACTCTCTCTCTCACACACACACACACAGATTAGGGGGTCGGGGGTCTTTGCTCTCAAAATATGTCTGACATAAACACAGAGGATCAGGGGGGGGGATTCTGTGGGAAGATGCAACAGATATGTTACGTATTGATGCTTTCTAACCCTGATGCATTGTGGGTAACTCCGAGCTTTACAGACACTCTGCAGGAAACTGTCAACATATAAATAATAATACCAATAAGTAATCACATTATTGTTACATTACAACAAATTACTACCAGGGTTAAAATGTTAAAACATTTAAACTGTTATTTTGGTGCAGTTTGTGGAAACCGGATTTATTATATGTTCTCTTGATTGTAACACTTAAAGGTGGGGTAGGTAATTTTGGAGAAACCAGCTCGAGTGCGCTAGAATTAGAAAATACACAGCCGGAACAAATCTGCCACTTCCTCACAGAGCCCCTCCTCCAACACACACGAACGCGCACATGACCAATGAGGGCACGAGATAAGTTTGTGCACAGATGGAAGGCTGACAGGCAGGTAGGCCATCCAGTTACTTTAGCCGGGCCGGCTCAGATGATTGGTCGTGCTTTTTACAGTACCACGGCTTCCACAGATGACATTTTTTTATGATTTTTTTGTCAAAGCACTTCAGATATTCATTGCTATCGGGATGTTAAGAGCATTCCATGGAATATAACAAAAAGTGTATCTCGAGCCGGTTTCTCAAACTTACCTACCCCACCTTTAAGACGCTTTGTTCAGTTTTGTAAAAGCCTTATTACCATCTTTATCTGCACACCGTCTCCATGACTGAAATGGATTTAATCAATAGAGGGTTTCAATCGGTTCCATTGATAAATCTATTGTAAGTTGACGTTTCCCATACCTTGTCTGGGCGGTATAACCATTTTTGTTGGATTCTTCCCTCTCACCGCATCCACTACAAACTCCTGGTCCCCCCCTCCAACCTGTAAAGCGACTTTGAGACTTTAAAAGCGCTATATAAAGTCAATTTATTATTATTATCATTATTATAATCTGAAGACGGAGAACCCTGCAGCTGGACTTTTTTTCTCGTCCTGCTCATCTCATCTTTCAGTTCTTTACTTCATAAAATCTGTCCGACTCATTACTGGATTCACTGAAAGCTCGTCTCTCCCTGAAGTGAGTTGGAAATGGTTTTAGCGTCTGTTTGATTCAAAGACAAAACAACAGAACACTGTTTTGATGAACTACTGAATATATTTCCCCCTCCCCCTTAAGATTTCATTAGAAAACAATAATTATATTCATTAGAAAATGTGCAAATGAGTCATGTTTGTTCATGGGCCAGATTTGGTGTTATTGTTTTGGTGCAGATGATTAAAGGAAAGTATTACATGAATATTTCATTAAGTGAATCAGAACCTTGAGAAGAATCTGTTCTGAACTTTTTGATTAGAGGAATTGAATAACACTGGGGGGAAATTGCATTACCAGCACATTATCACAGAGGGAAGGCTGTTACTCTGCAGCTGACACATATTGGATCATAACACAAGATAGTTTGCGGCACGCTGTAGTCCATTAGTGACGAAACACGCTGTTATAGGTGAAAGAGATTTCAGATCCAACGCATCATAATCAGGAGCTGACAAAATAATGCAATCTGCTTCAAAGGCATTTCTTCCAGAGTGTCAGATTATTTGTCTCACTGATTATATTTTAAAGCTGTTTGCGTTGTTATGAGGTGAATTGAATAATAATGCCGGCTGGTCTGGACCACAGGGACGGTGTTCAAAGGTAACTTTTATATCACAACAGAGAAAGGATTGCTGTCTGCTGGTATAAATTAATCATTTGTTTCTGTATTTCAATGAGGAATATGGAGGGCATTATTCACTGAAGCTCAGGAAGCAGGATGAAAAAATATTCTACAAACATGTTTTGTGCGCCGAATAGGAATCCCTCCCAAGTGCACACTGCGCAGTATGAAGCAAAGATAGTGAGCCATAAAGTGACAGCAGTGTTCAGAAGTCTCATGTTGCAGGATCATGGCACCGATTTCACATCTTGCAGATTTATATTGCCTTTGTCCCTACAATAAAATCCATAGCAAATGTGGTTCAGTGCCTCCAAATATTACTTCTGGCCCATTTCCACTTCAGCTGAATCAGCAATAATCTGCCCTCTCACCACTTCTGGAGGTATGCTTGTCAAGGGCAGCTCCTTCAATCTCTAAGGTCCCTCTTTACTTTTCATAAGTGCCTCCTAGGTTGCACTTCCCGCGTCCTTCTTCTTCTTTCACTTGCACTGTACTCTGTTCTCTCAGTGCATAAAAGCATCTTAATGTTACCTCAGGGTGTGGAGCATCAAGAGCCGCTCTGTGAAAGCTTCTCCTCGTGATTACAGATAACAAGCCAGCAGGGATCACAGCAGCCTCAGAGTAAGGCACACATTGAGCCCCAGCCTGTCGTATGAAACTGACCTGGGAGTTTGTTAAGCTAGAGATCTGTTAGCAGGGAACTACAAGATTGTTTCAAAAAGGAGGAAAATAATCAAAATCAGAATCAGGTTTATTACCTGGTAAGTCGACACGTACGAGGAATTTGACTTGATGTTATGGTGCATAAAGGTAAAAAAAAGAACAAAAACACATATAGAGAACTGGAAAGTGTTACTAATAGCATTTAACAGTGGCCCTGTTTAAGGACTGACAATGAATATTCTAAATTGTTCATACAAGGTATATTTGAATGGTTAAAAGAAGACTTTTCTCCTATCGGGACTAGAATGTGCAGTGCATTTTTAGCAGTGACAGTTCAAGAAGGGTCCACTAACGTTCCCTATAGAAAGTAAATGGTGTTATCACAGATGGTCACTGCACTGTGAAACTATGTGTCCTTCACTCTTCTTTCTACAAAGTTGGTCGCTGCCATAGCCCGTGGAGAGCTATTATTGTGAACATTTAGTTAATCACCACCCTCACACACAGAACAGTAATATATCAGACAGTATGGAACCATAAACATGGATATTAAATCCACTCAGACTGAAAAGAAGAGGCGCTTAACTGGTCAGCAGTAAAGAATATGAAAATTAAGCTTTCATTATTATCTGATGCACTTTAACAAACGGACGTTTTTATTGCTGCTTTAGGGCGATCTATTCTCCCTACTCACTGACCTCGGACGGTTTTAGCGCTGAACACAAAGTCAGCTTGATGATGTTTAAACAGAGAGAAATTGGGGAAGCTGCAGTATGTGATCCCATACTCTTTCTTTTTTTAACCCCCCCCCCCCCCGTCGCTCCTGTGTAAGTGAGAGAGAAAGGCTGGTAATAAAATGTGACCAGACGGTAATATTGGTAGTATAATAAGGCAAGAGTGCAATAGTGTGTCAAAATGTATTTTTTTAATCGCTGCAGTTTGAAATAGAGCAGTCTGATCCCATAAAACTGTTGGAGGAGAAAACTGTAAAAAAAAAATGATGGCTGATATATTAATTGCTGATAATACAGTGATATAATTTAATGGAAATTAGAGATGACTGAGAATTAAACGCAATTTTATTGTAACTATTGCTTTCACCTTAAATGCCTCTGGTTTGTTACATATTAAACGTGCTTTCCATTGATGTATTACAGCTGACTTAGTTTCCCTCCTCTCTTGCATTTCCACTTCCTACTCCTTATCAGCAATTGAGGACTTTCTTCTAATTTTCCCAGGGTGGAAAAAGAAGAAGTGTGTGATGCCTCTGCTGGAGGTTAATCAGGGAAATAGACTATTTCCAAATGGGTGCTTGTTGTAATCTGATGGTGGAGGCAGTACCAATCTCTCAGGTCGGTGTGGGGTCTTATCGCCTGTCAGGGTTAAAACGAGCCTCATGTCTGCTACCTTGGAGATAGAGAGCAAAGCCGCAAATCTCACGATTGTGCTGCATGTGGCATTTGAAGGGGGGCCGGTGGTGGCAGTGTCCACGGCTCTCGGAAAATGTCAATCTTACTCTTCAGTAAAAGCAGCTGACAAAGACACCGGCCAGAGTTCTTATCAGGACTAAAAGCTTTAAGTGGGAACCAACCGTCTGATTTAGTGAACGTACATGGTACATTCAGTACATCACAGAAATCTATATTACATTATTTGTGAAATGGTTTAACAACCTCTCTGATCAATATTCATATGAATAACAGGTTGTCTTAAACATTTGAAATATAAGAAGGGATATTTCACATTTTCCTCTGTGTTCACTTTATTATGATGTATTTAGAATATTCATATAAAATAAATCTTCGTTCAAACTCCAGAAATGTTTTGGTACCCAGAATAGAAAGGTTTATTCCAATGCTTGAAGGGTTGGCCACCTTTGCAGGATGTCAGTTTAAGTTATTTGTGTATTTTTATTTTAGATTTATGCCTTAAAGAATGTTTAATAAATAGCTGTGTCTTGTTAACTTGTATCGGCTGGGCATATTATTTATGTATGACACAGTAATAACGCAAATCAATCAATTACAAATACTGTCATTTTGTCAATTATATTGTAATTGTACTATTCTTATTTACATGTAGTATATATGCATGTCTGCGTTGACAGTTATTTGTTTGTGTTTAGTGTTTCTCCTAAGGATCTTGTTGGACAGGGACAAATGCTGTAAAGATTGTAATTTGTGTTTTGAATATACAATTGTTGGGCCAATTGAGTCATGTGTGTCGCTTCAAAATAAAGTTAAATAGGAGGCTCGCTCTTTTAGGGTTCCCTGTGGATTTTTTTCAATCACTATATGAACGTAATGACTTCCATATCCGTGTGAGGGTGATAACTTTCAATAAAGTGTGTTTTGTTTCTCCACAGGTCTAGACAACATCCAGAAGATTGCTGGCCAGGGCCGCTATGAGCTGAGAATTGACATGAAGGACGGACAGGAGTCAGTCTACGCCAACTATGACAAATTCTCCCTTGGAGACGCGAGAAACCTCTACAAGCTCAGAATAGGAGAGTACAACGGCACCGCTGGTACGTGGTGGAATACATCATTGTAAAAACGATTGTATTTAATGTGTTTAAGTTAGCGTACATCATAATTCTGCACTGTGATCAACCTTAGAAATGACCTGTAATGACATCAACATCAAAGCTCTATGTGATATCGAGCTGTTTATGTCAAATAACTCTACTATAATTATATATATATCAAAATGTGTGCTGTTTCCAACCTTTAAGTGAAAATACTCTTCCATCCCTACTCTGCCATCTGCCATTTTCTCTCCTCACTCCTTTCCCCTCCATCGTTTTTCTTCTCCCTTATGTCTGATACCTGCCTCAGCACTCCTCCACATTTCCACTGAAGTCCTCGCTCTCCATGCGTCTCTCAGTCTGTCAACATGACCATATGCCAGAATCACCCGTCACCCTCTCATGTTTATAATTATATTTCTCTCTGCCTTAGTACATTGAGAGTGCCTGTAGCAGGATTTATTTCCTCTCATGTCTCTCCCGTTCCCCTCCTGCCTGCCTGGTCGTTTATGTCTCCTCATCACGCCGTTATTCACCGCAGCCATATGCAAATGCAGCATACGCACAGGTTTAACGGTCTCACTCTTTCTCTCTCTTTCCTCTGATCCCAGGTGACTCTCTGAGCTATCACCAGGGCCGGCCCTTCTCCACAAAAGACAGAGACAACGACATCGCCGTCACTAACTGTGCCTTGTCTTACAAAGGAGCCTGGTGGTACAAGAACTGCCACCGGGCCAACCTCAACGGCAAATACGGCGAGTCCAGACACAGTCAGGTCAGTCATCCCGTAAAGACGTGATAAATAATAGAGCAAGAAGTTCATCTATTATGCAAAATACACTTTTTCATGTCTTTTATACATAAACATGTGTCCCCTGAGTGTAAAGAGATTCTGAGAGTTTCAGGAAAAAAAGATTTGTTCTCTTTTTGTCCTGATCCATTTATATAAAAACCTGTCTGAAAATGAGCAGATCCGATTTTGGCCACTTTGTGATGTCATAATGTTTTTTTGGTTTCTGTAATCATTAGCCAAAAACCAACCAAGGTAACCCCCCCCCC